AAGTGACGGTCCGCTACATTCCAAAGGTGGGGGACCCCCACGCGAAACATGCTCTGAAAAGTGGTATTAGGAGGGTAGTAAGCGGGGAAGTCCCTTTTGAAGATGACCTGGGAAAATGCCATCTGCTTAAGGTGAAGGGCGCTGAGGCAGATATAGCCCATCTTATTCTATCCTCGTCGAACAGGCCTTTGGCTATTCTCCAATCCTCTGCGCAGGGGCGTTTTATCCCAGCCCTCGTGTGGATTGTTCTGGTTGTGCTCAGTGGCAAACAGTCAGGAAAATGCACCTCGGCTAGCAAGTTAAGGGATTCCATGCAGCTGTTCGTGAAGGATCTGTCGGGTCTTTTCAGGAGCCCTAACTCATTAGTGTGCGTCTTTGCGAGGACTCTGTGGATTCTTGCGCTTCCCGTAAGGTCCTTGATCCCTGTACAGAAAATAGTCCATAAGTTCCTCTTTGCACATCTAATCCCTTTATTGTACTCGATGAGGGCAATTTTATAGGTTTCCCATTCACCGGTTAATTTAGCTCTGTTAAAGAGCTTCCGGGTCTTTGCCCTAAGTTTGGTCATTTTTTTATTCCACCATGGAGTCTGTCTGTTAAGCCTAGTGACTTGTGGATTCATGGTAGGAATTCACAATGGCTGATGTCAGATCTGAGCAGCTAAGTTCAAGATCGACTAAGTTATTTACCTTTCGCTTGCACCCTTTCAGGCCGTCCTGCAGAAGTGCATCTTATAGATTCCAGTCTGTGGTTCTTGGTCTTCTGTAGGTGGTTGCAGTTGTTAATGTGGTTTCTATTTCAAAACGGATGTGCATGTGATCTGATAAAGAAATTTCTCTGGGCTTTTTCCATTTTCTGACGAAATTACTGATAAAAGGAGTGAATAGAGTGAGATCTAGAACCTCTTCCCGTATACTGTTCCTAAAAGTGGGGGAGTTACCTACGTTTAAAATTTCTAACCTATTAAGGCTAATAAATTCAAGTAAGTACTCACCTCTTTGATTTATGTTACTGCTGCCCCATATGGCATTGTGTGCATTAGCGTCACATCCCACGATGAGTTGCAGTTTATGTCTGCCACAATACTCCACTAGTCCCTGTAGTGGCAGAAACTCGAAATCTCTCTACAAGGCAATTGCCTGGTCCGGTTCTAAAGTATGCAGCGCCTTTGTGGTCGCCGGGTACTAGTAGGACGCAGTGGACGAAGCTACAGACTTGCCAAAACGCAGAACTACGGACAGCAACCGGATTTCTTCTGATGTCGCAACAACATCATCTGTAGGACGAGGCTCAAATACTTCCCGTTAGGGAGCACAACATAATGCTCTGCAAGCAATTCCTAGTAGGGTGCTAACGACGTGGGCACCCGAACAGACACTTGCTTGCGCAAAGGTACGTCAGAAGGCATCAATATGAACTGACGGACGAAGTTCAGCGGTTCATAAAGCAACTTCTGGACCCGACAGCATACCTCCAGACCCTAAGCCGCATTTATAGGGAACTAGTATTGACCTACACTGACTCCTGACCTGTGAATGCCGTTACATACAAACGTTGCCAAATGACCAGTATTTGCCGGGACGTCCCGTATTTTGCATTAAATTTGAAATGTTCCGCCGCGGTAAGATTTCCCCGTATTTTCGACAATTTTATTATTCTTTTCAACCTGTAAACTTCTACTCAACATGGTCATGGTTTAACGCGGCTATTGGGAGTAGGTCATTAGCAAGCAGTATTGCATGCAACTCTGTAAGAGAAATATAGCTAAAGATTACCGTTGATTTTTTACAATTTTTTTTTGTGGTGGGTGTTGCGAATTTTCTTCCATATACAAAACTGAATTTTATATCGAAGAAAATGCGCAACACCCTCAAAAAAAATCTAAAAAATAAATTGTAATTTTTAGCGACTTGAAACTTGCACTTTATTGTTCTGAAACTGTATAGGATATAAACCCGCATACTCGAAATCTTTCAAGGAAATCTAAGTTAAAATATCAAAATTTTTATGAAATTTTTTCAAGTTTAATTTTTGTGATCTTGTTGCATGATTTGAAACTTTTATTTATGTGGTATGTGCAGGGATCGAAAATAATAGTTATTTTCAATAAGTCAGTTGGAAAGAATAGGTCTTTTTAACATTTGTGTATAACAAGCATTGTTAGCCAAGGAATGTTAATCCTATATGATTAATTTTTTTTTTTACTTTTTTCAAAAAGGTCGCCAATTAACCGTTATTTTTTCAGTCAAAAGTAAAAGTTAAAACTTGACTTGTTTTTTCAGTCAAATATAAAAGCTAAACTTTGACTTTTATTTTTTCGGTCAATTATAAAAGTTAATCTGACTTTTATTTTTTCGGTCAAAATAGCAGTTTACATATTCACAATACAATATGCTTTAATAAAAAATGCACATCCTTTCAATTGCAGTTTCCTTATCTTCTGTAAATACATATACTGAGTTTCTTTAATTTAGGCTTTACGGGAATGATTCGGAATTTAATTTAATAAATAGTATAGCTGCCAAGCTCTGCTCCGGCAAATTGTATCGCAAATAGAAAAAATAAAAGTCAATTTGTAACTTTTATTATTGACTGAAAACATATCGGTGAAGAAATAACGATTATTTTTTGACTTGTTTGAAAAGTGCATAACCGTTACGACCCTGGGTATGTGATATAGAACGACCCATATTTTAAATGAAAATTATTAACAATAAATAAANTTTGTAACTTTTATTATTGACTGAAAACATATCGGTGAAAAAATAACGATTATTTTTTGACTTGTTTGAAAAGTGCATAACCGTTACGACNGTCAATTTGTAACTTTTATTATTGACTGAAAACATATCGGTGAAGAAATAACGATTATTTTTTGACTTGTTTGAAAAGTGCATAACCGTTACGACCCTGGGTATGTGATATAGAACGACCCATATTTTAAATGAAAATTATTAACAATAAATAAATAAAGATAAGTTGCCAACAGCATCATTTTGCATCTTGCTGCTATTATTTTGACCGGAACTGTATCCCTTACTTTGATTTTATGGGTTTGTCAATTATATGTTTACGTGCATACATGGTTTTGTATAAATTAAAAAGTGTTGCCATGAAATAAACGAAATTTATCATAAGATTATAACTAATCTGAGCATTACTTCGTTGAAATGGATCACCTTTGTTAATATATGGTTCGTAGCGGGCTTTTAAAGCAAATCCTTTATTTCTCATTTGTCCCGTTAAATTTTTGTAAATCCCGTATTTTTTGGGACAAATTATGCATTTGTCCCGTATGGCTGAAAAAAAAATCTGGCAACACTAATACATACATACATTTAAAGATTTAGATGTAGTAGACAACATACCCAAAAATGTATGGATCTATTAGATAAACAACAGGGTTTAAACTGGATTTGTATATAAAATTATTCTGGAACTTGCTTTGATTTAATACAAAGCTTAACATAAGTATTGATTGCATATTTTTTGCATATCAAAACTTCGTAGAATTTCGATGTCTAGTTATCTGATAAAAGCTTTGCATGCTAGTATATATTTATTATTCCACAAACTGTTAATTTCTATTTTCTCATCATTTTTACCTGACTTGTAGGTAGGGTAGTCTGGCAATGATTACGCTTTGTAATTATTAGTACCAAGGAATGAAACTGAATCAAAATAATGTTCCAGTTTCTGTTTCGGTTTTGAAAAGTGTTTCGGTTTCGGCTTTGAAAAAAAAATTATATGAAAACAAGTTTGACAAAAAACATTATTTATTTAATAAATGGCTTTCAAGGTTTGTAAAATTTATTTTGCCGCATTAAACATTGTGGTAAAAAAAATGTATGTTTAATAAAATATGAATACAAGAAATAAAGACAACCCCTACGTTTGGCAATGAAGTGGAAGTTTTAAGCTGCTAAAAAATTGCGTTGATTTTAGGCGATTTTATGTATGTTCGACAATTTTTTTGTATGGAAAAGGTGCGTAATACATTCAGAATAAAAATTATCAAAAGGCAACGCGATTTTTTAGGAACTTCAAACTTGCTCTTTATTCTACTAAAATTTAATGGGCTATACAACTGCATACTCAAAAATCTGATTAATTTTTTAATGCAATTTTGCAGAAGTTCTATAAATTTTGCACAAAGTTTGAAATATGAATTTATATGGTTTTGGTTAGATTAAGAGCTAAACTTTTATAAAAAAATAATAAATATTAAATAAACAGAAGAAAAACAGGAAAAAGATGTTTAAATCTCGTGTCCATATTTATTTTTCCACCACTGTAAACAAACTATATGTCGAAAAATAGGCTTTTTACAACTTGACCCTCGACTTGATATCATTTCAAGTCACAACTTGATATTGCAGGTAATTTTTATAGTTTTCTCGAAATCGATTGGAGCCGGTTCCTGTACCTTAAACGATTTCGGTTTCGCTCTTTTTCAGGTCAAAATAACAGGTTTAAACGGTTACGGTTTTGGTATCATTCCTTGATTAGTACTATTTAATGATAGTTTATTGCAACTCATGGTGATTTCGTTTCTACCAAAAAATGTCGCCTTTTGATTGCCCCTTCCTCTTTTCGTGTTCGGTTCTAAATTAGAGGCAAATGGTGAGAAAATTTTGTGTTCTTTCTTAAAATGACGCACTTTTATAAGGTAAACAAGGCACATTCTGTGCCCTTTGAAGATTTGTCAGGGGAGATGGTTGCTCTGAAAATCAGATGGTTGTTTAAAAAAATGAAATGCGTGATCTAAACACGGACAAGAAGGCAAGAAACATGCCCTTTTACAGGGTTGAGTGTAACCTCAAACACAGTTTGCACCGGGGAAGGGCAACATTTTTTGGAAGAAACGAAATCACCATAATACACTTGCTTTATTAGATTCTTACAAAATCTCTTTGGTAACTCATAGCTATTAAAATAATAGATGTGCTAATTAAGGAATGAACGTTTTATTCAAATATTGTTTTTTAATTTCTTTGCAGAATGTCATCTTCATTAACAAAGAGCTTGTGGCTAGGAATCTAGCGAAATGGGTTGAACTACGAGACTGATTCAAGCGAGTGGAAGGTGTTTGTTAAAACGAATAGCACAGAAGCTGCAACTATCATCTAAATCATTTTTAAATATTTAACAGAACAAAAATCGCTCTATCAATTTAGAAATAGTAAATGTATTTCACTAGGTAAGTTATCATTCGCAATAGGATATAAAAGAGATCAACAGTTAGATTTGGGAAGATTAGGGGTCATTGTAGCATTTTGCGATACTTTGTCTTGTACGCAATAGTCATTTGTGTCGAGAATAAACCTGTTGTATATATAGAAGCAAATTAAAAATTCGACTATAATGAGGTGAGAATACATATAAATAGTATGTATTACAATAGCAAGCAATAGAAGGCTCGTATTAATTCTGCCGGACAAAAGGTTTACTATAATAACTTGTATATATAATATGCATATTAAATGTTATTTCAATATATAGTATATTTTTATGCCTCTTATTGATGCAAAAATACCATATGTTAAAATATATATACCTACGTATATTTTTTTACCAAGCATAGAGAGAGGTGAGGAAAAAATCTAATGTTTTTTTTTTGTATAAATTGCGTAAAGGCATTTTGATGTAAGTTTGTGAAAGAAATTTTACAGAATTTACATACCTAATGTCTAAGCCTGTAACGTTGAATTAAACTCTATTATACTGAGAGCAACTTTTCCTGAGCCTTTAACCTTTGATTTGTATGACCATATTTTGTTTGAAATTCGCTTAAATAACCTAATATGCTGACTGCCTTTTACCACATTATTATACTCGAGTTTATGGGGTTCCATTCTGATTGAGAATGCATCAAAATGCCTCCTGTGTTTATTATACCAATTTATACTTAAATACATTTAAAACAACATTTTACAAAGCATAATAGTGTTAGGTGTCCATAAGTAACACTCTAGGCCTTTTAAGTAGATGTAAGTAGTATGCTATATGTTTATAAGTCTTCGTTCAGTTATTCTCAAATAACGTAATATTTATTTTGCACTTATGTTATGGCTAACCGGCACGTTTTTACCAGATTGAAACCTATTACCCCTAGCGTTAATTATTGTATGATTTCATCCAGCTTAGTTTTAATTATAAATTAATAGATTTACATGTACTCTTAAAGTGATTTAATTGAACGTTATAATACTGAAAAATACAAATGGAGTAAACATACAATAAAAACAATGGAGTTTTAACATGCTGAATCTAATAAAACGATTTAATCATCGTTCTAACTGCAACTGACGCCAATTACATGTCAAGAGATGCAGAGTAACAAGCCTTGTGATTATTGTATCTTACGTATAATTCTTCAACCCTATTTTATGCATTGAAACAAAAGGCAGAAGAAAGTTGGGCATTGTAGCTCAAGTGTAAATTTACTGTATAAGAACATGTTATGAAGATTGAAGAAGAGTTCATCAAGAAGTCGCGATAAAAACTAAGGTGACTCAAAGATAAACATAAATAAAGAAAACGTTATTAAATCGTTAAATGATGTGTTTTTTTTTATTGATCTGAAGTTCGAGACTGGAAATTCTAGGATAGGTATACCTAATTCTGTTTGCACGGTTTTGTTTTAACACGGATAACAAAAAAAAAAAAAATTGATTCCGGTAATGATTGACACGATTTCATTCGATTTAGAACGATTAAAAAAATCTGTTTAATTCAAATTTCGGAGAAAAATATTTTTTGGTGACATTATGAGTTGCGAGCGAATGAATCTCTATGGATAGGTGGTCTGATGGGAGTGTTAGCATAGGGCGCGTTCAGAAACTATAATTGATGGAAATGTCCAATATACGCAACCACAGTTAAATGCCGAATTGGAACTTAGTCAGAGGTGTTAAAGAATGCAGTCTTCGTGACTTTAAATCGTTTCACTCACATTCACTGACTAACACTTTAACTGCAGCCAATCAATCACATGTCTGACTAAAGACTGCAAAATTGAAGTCATTCATTCGTCTTCTCTGTTATTCATGACTAATTATTCATTTTTGCAGTCTGAGGTGAATAATGAAAATCTAAAGCAATCTTTGCGTACACTTTTCATAGAATTATGAGTACACAAAAAGCTTAATTAAAACTCCAGTAGTATATAAAATATTGGGAAAATGTAAATGAATTCCAGTAACTTCCAATGAAATAAATTTGTATTTATTATATGTACTTAATCTGTACATATTATGTAAATGAAAAAAAAAAAAAAAAGTGCATGCCAACATGTTTCCAAAAAAATTAATAATGATCCTTGAAACTTAATTATACGTCTCCGTTAACTTTCAGCAACAGCAATTTTTCGAAAGTGTTGTCAGAAAGCGTTCCACGGCGTGGGGTATTCAGTAATGAAGCAAACGAAAAAAGTCTTTCTAATGCGGTCGAAGATGGCAAGGTGTGTAGTATTTAAGGTACGCTTTTTTAATAATCGGGTCCGGTTAAGCATAGTAATTTCTGTAGATTTGTCTACCATATATATATATATAGGGTTTTCACTGACAGTACCTTTTGTTTTCATGAAGAAATAAACCAAAACTGGAACGTGTTTTCGGTCCCTGAAAAAATTCAAAGTACTGCAAAAGAATGCATTCCAATGGCTGAAATCAAGTGACTAACAAGAAATGAATAAAAGAGTGATTTATGAATCATAAATCAAAAAAAAAAAAAGAATAAAGACTAATTTTTTTTATTCTTAGTCAGGACTAACAAAAAATGATTGCAATCACTCGGGACTTCAATCAAATGAATAATTTAGTTAAAAATGATTGCATTCTTTAACAGCTCTGAACTTAGTTGCGTAATAAGGCATTTCCATCTATTATAGTTTAGAAATAAAAAAGGGCTGCTGCTTTGCCTTGGTGCATTTCTGATCACACTCATAAGCCGCCACGTTATGCTATTTATTGATGCAGAATTTTGAATAACCTTATCTGCTCAGCTAATAGGTGTCCCCNGCTCTGAACTTAGTTGCGTAATAAGGCATTTCCATCTATTATAGTTTAGAAATAAAAAAGGGCTGCTGCTTTGCCTTGGTGCATTTCTGATCACACTCATAAGCCGCCACGTTATGCAATTTATTGATGCAGAATTTTGAATAACCTTATCTGCTCAGCTAATAGGTGTCCCCTACGATCATTTGCCAGACCTGAGTGCTAAAGGTCGTGGTGCGCGTGAAAGTCACCTACTACTGTATGGTTTTCACTTCTGGGTAGCGCACCTATGTATGTCAGGGTGATATCCTTCCGCGCAGTAGGCGACAGGAGGCGGTATACGCATTCAATATTTCGAGCTCGAAATCGCCTGATGGGACAGTGTGATGTATGACTGTTGCTCCTGTAAGCTTATTTTAACCGTGTAGGCTATATGTGCTTGTGTTACGCAATGGTGGCCGTATAGACGGGTGACGCCGTATGCCATGTTCTTAGGTTCTTAGGTTACTCCAGGTTAGGTTAACCTAACTGTAGTGGAGTTCGGATGCATTCCTCTATGGCATACCCAGCAGTAGTAGATCTCTGGTCCGGAGTTGGACTCAATGCCCGCCCGTAGAAGAAGGAAACACCTTGAGTAATTCCGGTGCGTGGAACCGGCTGTCGTAGGAACTAAACTATACTATATGAATATGAGCATACATTAAAGATGTAAGCCTGTATAAACAAAAAAATCTATTTCAAAACTGAAAATGAACTGGAGACAACTAGGCAGGTGCTGTATCAATGGTGTCGGACCAAAGTGAGTGGGGAGTTAGCTGAGTGGTTTTAGGGGCAAATGAAGTAATGATTGACGTTGTTGCTGTCACATGATAGATATTTATCAACGAGTTTTGGGGATGAAGCAATGCTTAGATATAAATCTGTATCCTTCCGACTACGTAGGTCCGTGGAACGAATTGGTTGGTGTCGTGTGGGGTACCTTCACTTCTTCTTCTTCTTTTTTGGCGCTGTAACCGCCTAAGCGATTTTGGCCGAGTTCAGCAAAGCACGCCAGTCGTTTCTCCTCTGTGCCAACNAAGATATTTCTCTATGTGGGGTACCTTCACTAGTCGGACATTTATTGAGTTTGTTGGTGTCGAGTCTGAATAAGTAGAAGCTAAGGCTTCTACAGTATCCGAACGTTATTTACGTGGGTCTCTGGGGCTTTTTGTCGGCAACGGGTGAATCATACTTCTGCTGAGTATTACTCTGTCCATCAAGGCATATTAAACAAGTAATAGCAGTAGGTCAGGGCACAACCCTGCCATGTATTTTGTTGTTGCTTGAGAAACCTAAAATGTCAAAACAGAATGAAATGCAAGCACGTTCGACCAATCAAAAGCAAACAAAAAGGATGATAATTTATGTATGTGTATGCGAATGTGTATATGAATGTAGCAAAGTTTGCCAGTTCAGGGCTCAAATCGTAACATCCGTTCACGGATCGAAAACCATTCGAAAGAAAATTACGTAATACCGTCAGTCGTATAAGCTGAATGGGATAAAGTGTACGTTCATGTATGTCATGTGTGAAAAAATGTGTTTTTATGTGACGAGTAATATGATATCGTATGTGACGATTCGAGCCCAGATTTTTCACGAAATAGAAAAAAATCAAAACTGCAGCCCTGCTGCTACTACCTGTTTAATGTGCCTTGGATGGAGTCACGTAAGATAGGGTGCATTCCAAAACGTCAAAATACAAAGCATCAGTCTCTTTTATTTCTAAACCTCAGTAGATTGAAATGCCAAACGTGCGCAACCACAGTGAGATGCTAGTTTTCAACTAGGTTGCGCAAGTTAGTCTTTTTCTTCTAGTGCGGTTTAGAAATAAAAGAGACGGATGTTTTGTATTTTGATGTTTTGGAATGCAGCCATACTGTTGAGGCCTTAGGTCACACAGGTAGTGGACCACAAGATGTGTGGCCCCATGGTGCTCAAGCCTTACGGCACCTGTGCTTGTGCTTATGTGAGCAACAGCCCACCTCCCACCTGCTCCAACTCTCGTATGAGGGCTATCCAGCAGCTCTTGGTTCCTCGCCGTTTGTTCCGTGTGCCGTGTGCAATTCCGACACCGTTCTGGACTGCGTACCACCCGTAAGCGGACAAGTAACTACCACTTTAAATTTTAGGCGTACCACGATCTCTAGCAGTCAGGCCTGTAATATGATCGTATGGAATTGTATTGGCACAGCGGGTTGACGGTTCGACATTCTGCTTCATGACTTAATGCACACGCCAGGATTGTGGGTAGCTGCGGAGCGCGCCTGACCTAACAACAGCTAGCGCAGGTCTGATAAATACATATAATGTTTCGACCTGTGTTATCAGCTGCTGCGGTGGCTCGCTTCATCCCATCCGGAAGTATGGCGGGAATTTGCCTCAACCACTTACGTTAGGTGGATTCCGGGGATCCCAATATTAGATACCGAAATTTGGAGATTCGACACAAGCACAAAAATTGGGAGCAGCACTTAAAGACTTACACCTACCACTCTGGTCAACAGCGAGATCCCTGCCCAACGCGACGAGACGTGATACCAGAGTGGAAATTTCATTCGATGGTCACGCCTCGTCTGAGCCGAAGCTATGGTCGAGCTGTTTTAACCGGCAGTTCACACTGCATCGTTTGGTGAATAAGGCCAAACGTCGAGTGAACAGGAGGCTGCACAAACTGCCGAAAAATAGTGGGCCACTTACTCTCACTAGCGCTGAAGTTCAGGTGGCTATCGGAAAGGCGGAAGCATTCAAATGCATTGGCGCAGACGAAATATACATATTGGTGCTGAAAAATTGGTTCCGTCGTGAGTACCATACCGTCCAAGGTAAAAACCGATGAAACCAGCCAACAAAGGGGAGTGTTATCGTCTGATACCTCTCCTTTCCCCAGGTGTCGAACTCACTTGAGGCTTTGCTGCTCCCGTACTTCAGGTATCACCTGACCTCAGGGAAG